ACCACAGTTGCCCCAAGCCCAGTGGCAGCTTTGCATAAAGCAACTGTTGAGGGACACAAATCACTTCCATGGTAAATTGTTACTACATATGAGTTCAGCTGTTGCATTCCATTTTCATAGTTTGATCTATATCCTAGTCAAGTATGTAAATAAATAGTCATATTTTACCATATTCTTTTACAATTTTTGATAATGCAAAGGGTTTTTTTTTTTTACTAAAGAAATGCATGCAGAATCATTGAATGTTGGTCATCTTTTATTATGGAGGATGGATTTCTTATAAATAGTATATGGTACACATGCATACTCAGGGTAGGATAGATGGAATGAGGCACAGGAAAAAATGTTTTTCACCATTTTTTTTTATTTAATTCAGTGAAGGGTTTGAAAACATGAGGTAACGCATAAAACATTCCTGTGAGCGGCACCTAATTGTTCAGAAACCTGAGTAAGCAGCCAGAAGAAGTGCCATTTGTTTGAACTTATGCTCGTCAAGTTTATCAAGGGTTATGCTTTTACTGTATACCAACTGAATATAATTTATTCACTTTAATATTGCCTAGTGCCAAAAATCGCACTTTCCCAACAACACAAAGCAACACAGTAAATATACTTACAAGTCTCAACCCTCTGTCTAGAAGTCCAGAGAGACAAATGTATCACAAAATCTCACCTCCCCCGTACTGCCTTCCACCACAGCAATGTGGAGACATAGCACCTAGGCCCATTTTGTGTGGTTAGACAAGTCCCTGTCCAGACACCAGCATGTACAACGGTAAATCAAAAAGTATTGTTATGATATCACTGAAAGTTTTATTAAACAAAAATATCACATGACACTACTGTTTCTCAGCAGATTCTACATGTAGGTCTGTACTCTTCTGAAAGTGAGGCTGTCATCTCTTGAACCCTTCTTTAAAGAACTCGATGCTCTTAGATTTACACCGTCAAAAACAGAAGTTTGGGAATCCTCAGGGGACTTAATTCATGTTTCTTTTCAGTTTGTGTGTTTTTTTAGGGACAAAAATAAATCTGAACAGACAAGGTCAGGGCCGGAGGGTAGAGGGGTAAGATTATTGTCATTGTTGGGTGCTGGACCCAACTCATAAAAGCGGTGTGCACAACAGAACAGAACATGTCCCAGCCCCGCACCATCCTCACGATGGTGATGTTTGTGTCTGTTGTCGCTGCCACCGTGTCAGTCCATCTCTTCAATGGTCTTCATCTTTTATGCTGACCAATTGACCAAGCATGATATCATTTCCCAGGGACTGGTCTTTCAGGTTAATATGTCCAAAATACCTGCGACAAGCCCCACCATCCTAGTTTCCGGTTGTATTTCTTCCAAGATAGATTGGTTGTTCTTCTGGCAGTCCATAGGCGTTTTGATATTCTTCACCAGCACCACCGTAGTTTTCCTTCTTCTTTCTTATTCATTGCACAATGTTCACACACGGATGAAGTGTGAGGATAAGCTACCTCAACAAAATGTTCACACAACAACCCTCGTACCTTCAATGAATGGGCAAACAATGAATGATGAAGGACAAAAATCCTCAGCATAATGCTCCTGTTCTTTTCCTTACAAATGCAGTCTTCGGTTCTTAAAGGTTCTTTACCATAAGCTCACATGATTGTCCTGTGTCCTGTTTAAGAAAATCTGCCCAGATTACCCCGTTGGAATAGATAAATAAATAGTTGCTATAACCATATGAGCGAACCACTCTGCCTCGAATTTCACTAGTCCTACAGATCCCTTTGGATTAGACCTTTGCTTTGACAGCAACCTATTGAGACTAAGAGAAGTGTATTACTGAGAGAATTTGTCTGCGGCCATCCCCTGATCACAGACCAGGATTAAACATGCTTTGGGCCTTACCCTTGTACTGTAAGGGGCACAAAAGCATAACCATAGAGCCCTGAAGTGGAAAGTGTAGCTGGTGCTTCTATGGGACAGTGATTATGAAAGGGTTCGCATGGTTCAGATGGTTTTTCTCTGAGGAAATACAAGCTATTAGCTAGGGATGGAAGTGCTTGTGGGTATTCCTACAGATGAAAGAGCTAATGGCTGGCTGATCCACTTTAAAGTTAATCTAGTTTGCTCGAATGATTTCCATGGGCTCAGTTCTTTTCTTAATACTTTCTACTGGTGAGTTCACCTTACACATAGAAGAGAAAAGGTAAAATGCGGTTCCCACAAGTAAGTCTGTGTTTGTATTTTGCTTCCTTTTATTGAAATTTGAAATTAATCAAGATTAATATTAAAGCCTTATCATATCTATGTGGCATGATATCTTACTGTTTTGATTCACCCTGGTGGTGCTATAGGACAGACATTGGGCTGTTAACCCAAAAGGCAGGAGGTTCAAACCCACAGGGACTCCACAGGAGGAAAGACAAGACAAGGTCTGTACCTGTAAAAGTTCACCGACTTGGAAACCTTATACAGGGTCACTGTAAGTAGGCATGAACTCCGCAACAGTGGATTTGTATTGGATGCTTTTAGGAGGAGAAAGGTCAATAGTGTGAGCATTTTTATATATGTTTGTTGGCCGCCTGAATGCCATCTTAAGTGAAATGTTTAATTGAGTTATTTGCATTTTTGGTGCTATGATGTTGAAGTTTTCTAGAAATTTTGGAGATTAGTCTTTTGTCTGGTACATCATTGCCACACGCAAAAAAATGATCCCTACTCTGTGGGTTCTCTTTTTACACTCTTGGTGAAAACTTCGGACATGTGTCAGTGCTTGATGTGTAGAACATCCCAGTCGTCCAGTTTTTCTTCTACTGTTTGAGCAAAGTTATGTTTGGTCGTGTGTTTGTGCCATGTATTAGTTTTCCTAGGTTTGCGCCTATTTTTCTTTAATAATCTTTATTGATTTGCATTTTAAATTTAGGTCTTTGATCTATCCAGTTTGTTTTTGTATATGGTATGAAATATGAGTCTTTTTTGTTGTTTTTCTATTAATAGATATCTAGTTCGACAAGAACTCATTTAATGAGTTTAGGTACTTTGCTCAGAATTAACTGTTCATAGGTGGATAGAATCACTTGTGCATCTGTTCATAGGTGGATAGAATCACTTGTGCATTCCCTTTCCTGTTCCATATAAGTATGTGTCGTTGAACCGGGATCAGGCTGTCTTCATGACCATGGCTGAGTAATAGAATTTGAGGTCAGAAAGTGTGAGGAGGCCTCCTACTTCGTGCTTCTTGTTTAGCAGTGCTTTGTTGATCCAAAGTCTCTTTCCTTGACATATAAGTCGGTAACTCGTGTTTCCTCTCTTTCAAGAAGGATGTTGAACTCTGGATCAGGACTGCATTCTATCTGTAGACCACTTTGGGCCATACTGATATTTTCACAATGATAAGTCTTCCAATCAATGAGCATGGCATATCTTTCTCTATAAATAAGTTTCTTTGGGGGTCAGACAGGCCTCCATGCTCCATCCTTCTTTACCTACTCTGACACCTACTATTCCTCCCACTACACTCTACTTTGGTACTGATGCAATAACCTGTTGCATGGCCACACAGAACTCACAGACAATATCCATAATTATGGAGGGTTATTAGCAGCGTTAATGGGTTACCACAACTCAGGAATAGTAAACAGTAAGGCCACGGACCTTGGTCCACAGCTGCACTTCTCCCCAGCCAATAACCAAGTCTCTCTCAGGTCCTCCCTCAGCCTCTCAGCCACATGGTCCCCTGGCCTCTGCCTTCTTGTCCCACAGTCTCGTAGTCTTAGTGCTGCTCCTCTTGCTTGTCCCAGAGTCTGCAGTGCCTCTGGTGTTGGCACGTCAGACAGAGATCTAACACATGCTCTTCTCGTGGTCGGGGCTTTCTCTTTCTGCTCCTCCATCAAAGATGGCTCATCTTTATAGCAGAGAGAGTGGGGGATGGTAATGAAGCTATTGGATCTCCTCTGTTAGTGTTACACAAGCCCTATTTGCATAATCCCACCTCATCATTTGGTAAGATTTTAAAAGATGTGGTTAGAAGAAAAATATTAAGAAATTTCACTCCACCACAGTAGACCTATAACTCATGTCTAAATAAAATTTATCTTCTTAAAGTTTGTATTTTCTCCACAATGCACATCAGAGCCTTCTGGTACTCAGAACACTCGACATGCTTCGGCACTGTGCTTGGGGCCATAGGAAGTAGTGAAATCACCCACAAAAAGCATGAAAATGCAAAGAACAGGACTCTAAGCAGACCAAGAAAAGGACACTTTTTGCTATGAAAGAGCTAGCACACCTTATCCACCTCCACTGGGTGGAGTATCTCCATCAGGCAACCCAGCTTTCTTGCTGCTCTGTGCATATCCTCAGAGGACTGCAAAAGAGCTGCAAATATTGATTCGGGGGCTACAAATACATTTTAGCAAGCAGGCAAATTCTGAATATGGAACCCATGAATAATGAAGATCAACTACATCTGATGTATGCACCCTGGTGCCTCATAAGCACTGAGCTGCTAACCACAAGGTCAGTGGTTTGAATCCACCAACCACTCCAAGGGTGAAAGTGGTGGTCATCAGCTTTCAGTATGATTATAGACAGGGAAACCTTCTGGGGCCATCCTCCTTGGCCCTGGAGTGTCACCATGAGCTGTTATTGGCTCAACAGCAATGGGCTAGTTTGGTTTGGTTTGTTTCCTTTATAGTCAGTAATATATGTCATTAATTAAGCATCATGTTAAGTGCTTAATTTAACCAGTGTGGTATTAAAAAAACAGCAACATTTAATTCCCATTTACATGTGAGGGCATGAGAGGTACTATAACAATAAGTCAAGATTCAAACCTACATCTACCTGACCAGTAATCAAATTTGCTAGAGTACTCCATTTCCCCCCTAAATATTAGGCCCCCAAAGTTCATTTCAGGTAATAGTTTAATTCTAACATAGATAATCCCTATCCCCACATACTTCCTTTGATTTTTAAGATCATGGCCCATCAGTTTTTTGAATGCTTTCGTTTTCTCTTTATCTAGGGCTGTGACACGCAGATGATTTACGACATGCTGCTAAGATTAAAATCGACTATCTATTTACCTGGTGATTTTGTCTGCAAAAAGGTAAATACATGCTATCTTTCAGATGCAAAACTAGTAACTACATTGAAGAGAAGTTCAAACAGAGGTCAAGTGCATAGTTTAAATAAAATGTGTCCAGGATACATTCTAAAATATAGGAATAATTATGATACACAGCTCTGTATAATAATAATGGGCTCTCAAAGTTCAAATGGGAAAAATGGATTTCATTACTTATGCTATAGACTATAAACGATTGAGGTAATCTGAAACACTGCATTGCAAAATGTAAATTATGAGTCATCACGCTCCATTAATTCCAAATAGTTGAAGTGGACAAAGAAGCTAAAGAAGCAAAAGGTAGTTCTGCCCTTAACAAATAATCAGCAAACTATCAGTTAACTCCACTTGGCTTACCCTGTTTGTATATAATCAGTGAATTCTTTAAACTTCAGTGACTTTTTATGATTACAAAATAACATGTTTATGATGCATACACCCTATTTTTAAATGGAAAATACATAAAATCACAAAGACAGAAATTCCACTATCTAGAAATAACCACTTTAATATATGTGTCTTATCTTTTTATATGGATCATATAAAGCATGTTTTATAAGATTGGCATCTTACAATATAGGATATGCTTCCACACTTTGCCATATGACATATATCATTTTATATACATATACATATTTTAATGAATATTATTATTTTTAAGCTGTAAAATATTTTTGTCTATGGATATGCCATGCCAACTTCTTATTGCTGGACATTTCCATCATTTCCAAGTGTTTGCTATTACAAATAATTATAAATTACTTTAATATTAACAACACGTGGTATAAACATATTACACAACTCTGATTATTAACTGAGGTAGAAAGAAGGAATTATGACTTCTTTCTTTTATATTGTGAAGAACTAAATTAGGGGTGAAGTCGAAAATTAAAATTAAAATCAGAGAAAGATAAACAGTTCAAAGAATTGAGAGATGAAAGTAATGATGAAATAAGAGATTAAATGAAAGGTACGCATGAGAAAGAAATAGGTGACAAAGAAAAAGAAGAGAAATGAGAGAAGAAATTAGAAATTAAAGCTAGTGAAATGCTTCTCTTGCTCCAAGTTCATGAGTGACGCATTAGAGAAGAAGTACAAGGTACTGTAGGACAACAGAGTAAGGACACTTGTCCTTTTGGAAGATACCAGCAAATTTCCCAGAAAAGACGGCGTCCAAGCTAAGTCTTAATCGAGGCATAGCAACAACCCAAGCGAAAAAGGAAGCAGGTTTTTTGGCAGAAGAAAGAATTAGCGTAAGCTAAATCCAAAACAAAGAACTACGTCTACAGAAAGAAGGAGTACAGAGAACTGTAGTAAGGAAAAATTATCATTTAAATATCATTTATTCATTAAAATTCAATAAATATGTTTAATACACTCTGTAGACCAAGCACTATGCTAGCTACTTCATACACACACACACACACACACACACATCCACACACACACATCCACAAATGAAACTCATTACCATCAGGTATTTCCAATTCACAGAGACTCCACATGTTACAGAATAGGATTTCTTCATAAAGTATTGTTGGCTGTCATCCTCATAGAAACAGATCGCCTCGGCTTTCTTCTGTTATTCTGTGGATTGATTGGAATCATCCATCTTTAGATGAGCAGCCAACTACAATCTGTGCCATCTAGGGCCCTGGGGAAGATCTAACAGTGCACAAAAAGATCATCGTGTCCCCCAGGAGCTCGGAGTCTAGTGCAGAAGTATTTCACTTACACTGTGCCTCAAAGTCTCCTTAATGCTGATGCTTGGGCGTTCTCCCTGCCATCCAATTGATTTGTGTGAAGCCCATACAGTCTTCTTTTTAACTCCCCATAGGATTCTAACCTGGAGCCAGAGTTGAGAACCACTGGCCTGAATGAAAAAGACACATAATAAATCATAAAATTAAATAAATACATAACTACAAAATTAGTTAAGTTGAATAACGGCCACACACATACACAAATGATGTTGTCAGGGGTACATGTGATAGCAAAGGCACTTAATTTAGATTGGAGCGTGGGAAGGCCGGAGAGTAGGGCGGTTAACATATTGTCGGGCATGATATTTTAAAAATCTAAAGAAAAGCAGTTCTTTATTAATGAGTGGAGGAGACAGCAGTTTAGAAAAAGCCTAGGAAACATGAACCATAGCAATGGGGATAGTAGTGAAAGACATTTTAAGTGAAGTGATCAGTGCAAGCATGGATGGGGAAGATTTGGGTTGTATATTGAATTGTATATTGAAAAGGGGTCTAGCCCGGGAGAAAGGACAGAACCAGCGGTGCACAGTAAAAGCTGACTTCCCGAGAAGCTCAAGAGAAAGAAAGAGAAGTGGACCAAGGTTGTAACTTTTGAAAATACGCATGTTTAAGGACCAGAATAACGAAGAACTATCGGGCAGGCAACTGAGATGCTTTCAGAGATAACAGAAAAATGGGAGAGAAACATGATATGATAGAAAGCAAGGACATACAATCCTACACAAATTAGCCAAAGTTAAAAGCAGACAGATTGGTGAATCAAATCATCAACAAATGGGCACGCAAAACACAGTGCATTTTAAGCACCCCTGTAGGGCTGCGGTGCATTTGGACGGGTGTGACCTTAACACACCAAAAGGCCCTTCCAATTTGCTCCATTCGCAGCAGGGACCGATATTGAAATGACTCCTAGAAGCTTTAGCACCTATGCCCCTAAGCAGTGCAAATCTGCTTAACAGTGTGTGAAATGTAGAGCCTTCTCATTGCTGATGTCTTTCTTAGGGAAGGCCATTTCTCAGTAATAAAAATAGATCAGCAAGCACAGCGAAGGGGAGGAAAGAAAGAAATAGGAAAAGAGCAGAAATGAGCAGACAAGGGAACAAAAACCACATTTTTGGGGTTTGGGTTTGGGTTTGGGTTTTTGTCTTTGTCTTTGTTTTATTTAAGAGAGTGTGTAAGTAATAGTACCTATTGACAGAGATGAAACTTGTTACATGACCAGATTTTTTTTAAGTTGGGATTTAATACATGTAACATATCATCCCCTGTTCCAATCACATCAAGTAGAATTGTACGATTGCTACCACAATCCATTTCCAACCATTCTTTTTCTATATGGACTCCTAGACATCATCTCCTTTTATAGGCCCCCACCCCCAACCACCACTGAAAACCCCTCCCTCCAATCCCTTATTCTGCTTGCTGTCCCTACAGGTCCATCACATGACCAGGTTTTAAACAATTGAGTATTAGCTTCCATTTTGATTACCAGTGCCACAACCATTATAGGGAAAGAGAAGAGACAAACCCATGCCATGTTGAAGTTGCCTAGATAACTGTAGAAATGGTAGGATTCTGGTCTGAGTTTGCTACCCTGAATTCGCCTGGCCCTCAGGAGGGTTGTTTGTTGGGTCACTGCTCTCAGCGTACAGCATTGTTTCTCACAGGTTAGTGTGCCTACGAACTGCCTAGCAATCTTGTTAAAAAAAGATTCCCAGATATCCAGAGATTCGGATCCAGTAGAGTTGGCATTTCTAAACAAGCTCTAGGAGTTGCTGAGTGGTACAAATCATGAAGATGTTTCTCTGACAATAAGAGGTCGTTGGTTCAAATCCACCCAGATGCACCTTGGAAGAAAGGCTTGCTGATCACTTCTTTAAAAATCAGCCACTGAAAGCTCTAGGAATGTATACAAGGTGACCGTAAGGGGGATCAATTTAATGACAACTGGCTGGGTTTTTAAGTAAGCTCCAAAGTGAAGCTGAAGATGCTAGTCCAGAAATCATACACACTACCCTTTGGTGATAGAGTACATTCAAGGACCAGAATGTTCCCTCAAGCTTGCAAATAACCTTAAAAAAAAAATTCCCATAGCCTCTCACCAAGCGTTACCTCCCTCTTCAAGAAGCTGGCATATTTTAGCACTTTCTCCAAATTAGCACATAAACCAACCCAAAGAGCGTGGTTCGATCTTATTTTGCACATGCTGCCAGCCTTTGTTCTCTGGGGAATGTCTACTTCATTTGAATGCTAATTAAACTCGCAGGAAAGACTTAAATTAGCCTAGAAATATGCAAGAAACAGTGGAAGTTTTGGTTGGTTGATTATGCCAGATCTCCTTGGAAAATTATTGAAATGATCATTAAAAAATAATTAAAAGTGCTGAACTATATTTAAGTAGCCATTATATACTTCTACCTCCAGTCAGTTGTAATAACTGCCTTTGAAAAATCATTCCAGTTCCTTGAGAGTTACTTCATGCAAAGAAAAAGGAATATGACCCTGTCTTAATCATCGACTTCCTGAAGTGTGCCTTAGAAAAGTAGTTTTCACTTTCCCTTATTTTGAAAATTATTCATAGCAACACTATTTCTTTTCTTAGAGATTAGTGTGTATATTGAAGCCAGCATTAGATATGCTAGATCTATATATATTATATAAAGGCAAGCAATATAGGGGTTGTCCCTCCCATGCCCGCAAAGGCCCCCAAAGAGGAGGTTGGAAAGAAATCAGGCAACCATTAGACACCTATGAAGACCCCAAACTGAGCATGCTCATACTCAAACTCTGGAACCAGGTAGGAAGTACACCTGGGCGGGCCAAACTAGGCTAGGCTTATGACATCACCCAGATGGGCTTAACTCAGCCAATGGGGTCAACCAACACCATCAACCACGCCTTCCCAGCCAGAAGTTTGAAATATCCTGGCTATGGGGAGGCCTCCTTCTCTCTTACCCTGCTCCTGCTGAGAGGCAGGTGGAGGGTGAGGGTCTCCCACCCCTATGCAGGTGCACATGCACCCACTCCAGGCCTACTTGGGGCCCACATGCTCTTAGGCTCTGGGGTTCTTGGGCTTCTGGCCTCCTAGGATCCACCCCCAAGTTCCACACTTATGGGTGCTCTTTTCCACGTGGTTATTTATGTCCAGTTGTGAACCCCAGTGCAGCTTCTACACAGCTTGGCACATTTCCCAGAAATAGTGTGTACCCTTTTGAGACTGTAAAACCTGACATTTGTCCTGTCCTTCATAAAAACCCACTTGGATCACAAAACAGGCGTTGAATTCTTTCAGTGTGTGAAGCAAAGAATCAAGGTGTAACCCACTCCAGAAACCTAACAGTTCTAATGCTGTCACTGAGCAGCCTGCTGCATTATAGAATAAGAAAAATAGCTTAGAGATCTCCTATGGACCAATTCCAAAAATCACTCCGCAATGCCATCAAGGCACGCTGGTGACGCAATGGGTTATGCATTGGGTCTCACCACAGGGAAAAGTGAGGCCTTATCTCCCCAAGAGGCTTGCGATCTCAGAAATCCACAGGAGTAGTTCTACCGTGGCCTAACGGATAGTTGTGACTCAGAATCAACTCAATGGCAATGAGCTTCCTCGATGCCGTACATTGAAGAGGACAGTGAGCCTTTGAATGACTGAGCTCATGATCTTTGACTAGAAGCACCGTGTACAAGCATGCCCTCTTCTGATAGAAATGACAGAAATATCTTCATATGTCCAGGGTGGCATACAGTGCTGGAAAGTGTCCATCATCCTAATCATTTCCTTCTGAGTGATATGTCTAGCCAACATTTATGTCATTAACTCAGTTATTAAGAGACTTTTAAATTAATATTTCATGTTTTCTCATTTTCACTTACTTCTCTAGAAGACTTTCTTAATTTGGAGACAGAGGAAAGTGACTGTTCTTTTTCTTTGCATTTGGCATATAGGGAGAAATTGGCAAAGAAATGTATATCATCAAGCAAGGAGAAGTCCAAGTTCTCGGGGGCCCTGACGGTACTCAAGTCCTGGTGACTCTGAAAGCCGGGGCGGTCTTGGGAGAAATCAGGTACCTGAAAGATGTCTCTTAGATACACAAGTCCATCATTTATCCTAAAATCAAAATCTGGGGTTGTAGAATAAGTTAAGTTCCTTCTCAGGTTTGATTGTACCAAGAGCCCTGGTAAAACAAGGAGTTTTCACATTTCTGTTCCTTCTCTCTTTTTACCCCAAGGGCTTTTTGTTTCCATGAAAAGGATTTGATCATTCAGTTCTACAGCCCCAGGACCTACGTCAGTGCCTGGTCTAAGACAGATGCTCAATATACATCAAATTTGAACATAAACGAATTAATGATTTTATCCAGAAAGTTGATTGCTATCAAGTTGTTTGAAGAACAAAATGACAGACTAGGAAGGTGGTTTTGAGTGATATAATTTTAGTTGTAGGACTAAACTGCATGAGATGAAAACCTAGTTCCACCAATTACAGCTATGGTCCTTGGACACATTACTTGACTCCTTTGTTCTTGAGTTTTCTCATCTTAATCATAACAATAATAATCTATATCTTAGAGTGTCAGTAGATACATTGATACATGAAAAATGACTTAAAATGGTGCCTGCATCTGGAACAACCAAACCAAACTACTTCCGTTGAGTCAATTTTGACTCAGAGAGCACCTACAGGACAAAGTAGAATGCTTCATAGGGTTTCCAATGCTATAAATCTTTACAGAAGCATACTGCCACCTCTCCCAGCTGTTATCTGGAAAGAGCTTTAAAAGTCGGTAGGCACTGGGCTGCTACCTGGAAGACAGGTAGCTCAAACTCACCAGCTGCTCTGTAGGAGAAAGATGAGGCTGTCTGTTCCCTCAAAGATTTTCAGTCTGGGCAGCACAGTAGAGCAGTTGTACTCTGTCCTGTGGGGTAACTTTGAGACAGAATCCACTCTATGACCTTCGGGTTTAGTAGAAAGGCGCTCTGATAGCACTGCAGGATAAGCACTGGGCTGCTACGCACCAGGTGGACGGTGCTCCTCAGAGAAATGAGACTGTCTGTTCTAGTCAAGATTTGCAGGCTTGGAAACTCAGGATCTTTATAAGGAGGAATCCACTTGATGGCAGTAAGTTGGGGTTTATTGCTAATGCTATTTCTTACTGACCAGGAGAAGTTTGTCCTAGAATAAGTCCCCAACAGTAGGATCCAAATTAAAAACCACCTCTGCTACCATGGGGCTTATTCTAAAGCGCAGCAACCTTAGGGCAGAGTAGAATTGTCCCACAGCATCTTCAAGGATGCAGTCTTTGCAAAAGCGGAACGTTCCAGCTTTTTCCCACAAAGCAGTTCAAACCACAGACCTTTCGCTTAGCACTTAACCTCCAGGGCTACTTTAAGAGTAAGAATATAGGCAGCAAAATGTAAGCCCTTTGTGATCCAGACACTTTGTTTTTCCAGACTCTGGTGTGCAGTACCTCATTTCAGCTCATTCGTTTATTCATTCAACAATTACTTATTCCGTGTCTGGTACAGAGATGACCAGGCATTACTCTCAACTCTGAAAATGAACGAACAATAGACCACCAGTCCGCCTCACAGAGCTTGCAGACTGGTGGGAGGATACTGACCATTGACAAAGCCTGATAAATTCACATTGTGATAACTGTTATGAAGGCAAAACTGAACTGAATTCTATGAAAGTGATGAGTAGTGACTTTAGACACTGTTCGGGGATGGACTCTCTAAAGAGATGATCGTTTGAGATTTGAAGGATTAAAGAAGTAGCAACTTGTTCAGAAATGGGGACAGAGCCCCTCAGATGACTGAATAGCCTAAAGGTAAAATCAATATGGCCAATAAGCGATCTTGAGGGAGAAATGGGGCCAAAAATGAAGAAGGTTACACAACACCTTTTAGGCAATGGTAAAGATTTGGTATTGTATTCTAGATACTGATGGACACCAGTGGCAAGCGTTAACGAAGCAAGCAACACAATCTAAATTAGCATTTTTCAGACCACTCCAATAGCCATGGAGAAAAAAACAAAAAGAAGGTAAAAGAGCAAGAATAAAGTAAAGGAGACCAAATGAGAGTCAGTTGCAGGGGTTCAAGAGAAAGACGATGTTGTCTTTAACTGGGATGTCAAGTGTTAAGGTAGAGATATAGTATCAGGCAGTTATTAAAATGTTCATTTCACAATAGAGAAAATCCAAGGTGTCAAAAATCTTGCCCAGGA